TCAAGTGGCTAAGGCGCCAGCCACATACACCTAAGGTGGTGGGTTTGAATACAGCCTGGGCCCGCCAAACAACAATGACGGCTGCAACCAAAAAATAGCTGGGCGTTGTGGCAGGTGCCTGTGGTCCCAGCTACTTGGGAGGCAGAGGCAGGAGACTCACTTGAGCCCAGGAGTTAGAGGTTGCTGTGAGCTGTGATGCCACGGTACTCTACCCAGGGTGACAGCTTGAGGCTCTGTCTAAAAAAAAAAAAAAAAAAGAAAGAAAGAAAGAAAAAGAAATACTGACCACCTCAATGAGCCCTCCACTTGCTTTGAACCTGCTTAGCCTGGACCAAAATTTTAGAACAGGGTCCCTTCCTCACAGGCTATATCCTGTCAACTTACTCCCCCTACAGTCCATTTTTCTATACAGCATAGCTTTCTAAATTTAGAGCATAAAACTGATTTGTCATTCCTCTGATTAAAACCCTCAAATGACTTTTCTTTTCCCAACATGGTCAGCTCAAACCTCTTCCATGCCTCCTACAGTTCAGCCTGGCCTTGCTTATACTGTATATAAAACTACAGTGTACACACACTGGCCTCAAAAAGACTGAGCTTATTTCTGTCCCCAGAGCGCTTGCATTTGCCGGCCCTTTTTGCTTGGAACACGTCTAGGTGTGCAGAGCTGATGCTCAGTCTGATTCTCTGCCTAGAGCCCTTTCCTGACTACCGTAGCAGCAGCTTCACCGCCTGCCCCTTCCCAACCTCCTTCCCTTGTGTTAACTTGTCTGTAACATTTGTGTTTGTTTGCCCTCAGTCCTTAAAGGAGGACCTTTGGCCATCTGTCTTTTTCACTGCTCTGTGATACTATCCTTGCCACAAAGGAAGCTCAACAATTTGAATGAATATCATCTTACTCTTGTCTGGAGCAGAAGTTCTTAACCTGGGGCATAGGGGATTCAAGAGATCATTTCTTTCTTTCTTTCTTTTTTTTTTTTTGAGACAGAGTCTCACTATGTCGCCCTTGGTATAGTGCCGTGGCATAACAGCTCACAGCAACCCCAAACTCTTTTTTTTCTATTTATTTATTTTGACAGGGGCTGGGTTTAAACCTGCCACCTCCAGCATATGGGGCCGGTGCCCTACCCTTTTGAGCCACAGGCGCCTCCCCAAACTTTTTTTTTTGTAGTTTTTGGCCAGGGCTGGGTTTGAACCCACCACCTCCCGCATACAGGGCCGGTGCCCTACTCCTTTGAGCCAGAGGCGCCACCCCTCAAACTCTTGGGCTTAAGCACTTCTCTTGGGACCTGCCACAATGCCTGGCTATTTTTTTGTTGTAGTTGTCGTTGTTTAGCAGGCCTGGGCTGGGTTCAAACCCACCAGCCCTGGTGCATGTGGCCAGCGCCCTAACCACTGAAAAAAAAAAGAAATTAAGGTTTATGCAAATTGACCAAGAGGTTGAAATAATAAAGAAATTAAGGTTTTGAGTATATATCTATATATCTACTATATATAGATGTAGATTTTGTTTAAATAGATTTTTTTTTATGGAGACAGTTTTATTTTGTCACCCCTCAATAGAGTGCTGTGGCATCAGAGCTCACAGTGACCTCAAACTCTTGGGCTCAAATGATCTTGCTTCAGCCTCCTGCATAGCTGGGACTAAAGGTACCTGCCACCATGCTTGGCTACTTTTTTTCTATTTTTTGTAGAGTCGGGGTCTCCCTCTTGCTCAGACTGGTCTCAAACTCCCAAGCTCAAGCAATCTGCCTGCCATGGCCTCGCAGAGTGCGTGAGCCACCACACCCAGCCTTGAAGTCAGGAGTTTAAGGCCAGTCTGGGCAACATAGTGAGACCCCCATCTCTACGAAAATATTTTTTAAAAATTAAAAATAGCTGGGCATAGTGAGGCTGTTGTGAGCTATAACTGCACCACTGCACTCAGCCAAGGACAGAGACCCTGTTCCCTGCCTCAAACAAACCAAAACAAAACAAAATTCACCTTTCTCAGAAAAGAAAAGCCTAAATTCCATCTCTCTATCCTATCTGTTTCATTTTCATGAGGAGGAAAGAAACCCTACATTATTTGCATAATTACTACAATGCTTACCATGTTATGACTTGGGCAGCATGAGGTATTTCTTCTCACGGGCCATGTCTATTGGATACACCCAGACAATGGCTTCAAAAGAGCTTGTAAACTTAAGAAGTTACAGGGAACATGCCACTTGGAAGATTCCTATTCTGGGAGAATACTCAAGAACAAAAAGACTTTTTTCCCCTTCCTTCGTAGCACCTATAATTGTTTAAGGAAAACAATTTTCTTTATTGATTTGTTTTCTTTCTTAAAACCCAAAGGTTGGGTGGTGCCTGTGGCTCAGTGAGTAGGGTGCTGGCCCCATATACTGGAGGTGGTAGGTTCAAACCCAGCCCAGGCCAAAAACTGCAAAAAAAAAAACCAACCCAAAGATTGACATCATGTTCGTCAAAGGACCTTCCAATTAACTGGATGTTATTCTTAGACTTTGATGCATTTAAAATGTTAGCCAAACGCAGGAAGAAGTATTTTGAGAGCATTTCATTTATACTTCATTACAAGATTTGGGGATGGGCAGCGCCTGTGGCTCAAAGGAGTAAGGGCACCGGCCCCATATGGCGAAGGTGGGGCGGAGGTGGCGGGTTCAAACCCAGCCCCAGGCCAAAAACCGCAAAAAAAAAAAAAAAAAAAGAAAAAAAAAGATTTGGGGGAGGGTTAGGGGCCTCCGCTGGGAATTTCCTGATGGCTATGTCACATGTATATATTTGTGGAAACATAATGTGGATTATTGCCCGAGTTTAAAGTTCCAAAGATCTACCCACAGAAAAATCACAGAGAAAACATCCAGAGCCTCGTGAAAGAAAGAACTATTTCTTGGCTTATGATTGCCAGGGTTAGAACACTTTGGGGTTAATCCTTAACTGTAACTGATGCTACCATCTCAGAAGATCAGCCACTGTAGAGTCACAGATGACTGTCACATAGGAAGAACAGTCTGTTAACTTCCTTCCTTCATTTAAAATAAACCCTGAATAGACACCTGCTAAGAAAAGGTCATGATTTTGGAAGGAAAATGTTGTGTGTGTGTGTTTTTTTCTGGCAGTTCTTAACATACTTAGCTATTGACTGATAAGGACCTTTGGATCTTTCTCAACCACTGATTTTTTTTCTGCTATTAAAAAAAGTTATCTAAAGCCAACCTGTCAGGAGTAGAATGTAATTCTTTATTCCAGAAGAATGAAGGGATTTACTTCCACTGGGATTTGATTCTATCATTCTTCATTAGTCTGTTTCACATTGATCATGAAGGCACCAAATCTAAACTAGAGGGAATTTTTTTTTTTTTTTCAGTTTTTGGCCGGGGCTGGGTTTGAACCCACCACCTCCGGCATGTGGGGCCGGCGCCCTACTCCTTTGAGCCACAGGCGCCGCCCCTAGAGGGGAATTTTGTTTTATGTTTGTCCATAAATCAAAACCCCTGTATCCACTTTTATGGTCATTTTTCTTGAAATGGATTTTGCTGAAATCTGATGCAAGCATCCCTGAATTGAAGAGAAGAGTGTACAGACACAACAGGAGAACATTATAACATCTTCTGAATTTTACTATATTTTACCTTCCACCAAAAAATATCCTAAATGGCTTAGCTGGTTAAGAGTATTACAAAGAGATGTCTAAGGTCAAGGTTTTAATCTACTTAATGGCCTATTTACTTTGCTTAGCTATGTTCTATGTGGGACAAATTCACCTCTCTCAAACTTGTATTTCCAAATAAAGGTGGACCAGGTAACAAGACATAAACAAGGCCATCACCAGTGACATGAAAACACAGAACTGCTGCCGAGGAAAATTGAGCATTTTCACAAACACAAAACTTAAAGGCACTTCATTTAGTCTTTTCATTCATTTTGTCTGTGTGACAAGTGCTGACATCATAGAAACCAGATATAACCTTTACCCAGAAGAAACTTGGTGTATGAAGACAGAAACTACAATGCAAATCCTATTAACAGGTATACAGAGAGAGACACCAAACCCAGCCTGGAAAGGCAGTAGGGAGTATGGGCAAAAATCAATTTCAAGAAGGTGACAGGAGCTGAAGGATGGAGTGAATGTCACTTTGAACAACTCCAGTAAATGATGGAGTAGCTAGGTGATGAAAATTAAAAGCCCAGCACGAGCCACTTGACACATTATTCTTGAGTTTAAAAAAAAAAGGACTAAGCAATAGGCATTTGGAAATATCTAATATATATAGTCCTAAGACTGAATCAACCAACCCTTTTACCTTATGGCTCATTTCTATTGTTGAAAAAAAAGAAAAAAATAGATCCCTAAGCCTATAACTAAGTTGGAATCGGACTAGCTTTAGAATAGTCTCATGACGCCTATAGCTCAACTGGCTAAGGCGCCAGCCACGTACACCTAAGGTGGCGGGTTCGAATCCCCAGCCCGGACCTGCCAAACAACAATGACGGCTGCAAACAAAAAATAGCCGGGCGTTGTGGCGGGCGCCTGTGGTCCCAGCTACTTGGGAGGCGGAGGCAGGAGACTCGCTTGAGCCCAGGAGTTGGAGGTTGCTATGAGCTGTAATGCCACGGCACTCTACACAGGGGGACAGCTTGAGGCTCGGTCTCAAAAAAAAGAATAGTCTCATGATAGAGAACTTCTCCTTGTAAGACACACATGAAATGTAAATGAATTAAGCCAACTCTACATGTTGAATTTACATTAAACAGGGTGATAGAAAACACAATTCTTTTATCTTGCAACATAGTGAAGCCAGACTCCATAAAAGAGAAACTAATCATTTTTTAAGTGAGCAAATTATGACATACAAAATTCCTTCCAAAATTCTACAAAAAGTGGGCCTTGGTCAAATAGAACTTTTATTCAAGTCAATGCAACACCACTGCCACCTTGTGTTCAATGGTCTTCATTACACCCCCCATTTATGCAAATGATCACACATGGGATTCTCAACAATTACAGAATATAGCTTTATTTATAGAATCTTACAAATAAAACATTTACAGTCCACATAAGTTAATTTTCTTTTCTAATTTCTTCTCATAACACCTGAGTTATTTTAAAAAATACTGTGATGGAACTGCAGAACCGTAAAGGGAAATATGAACAATATAATCCCAACCTCTTTTGCAAAAATCAAACTTCTTTTAAAAAGCAGATTTCCAGCATATCACCATCTCTTTGGAGGAGGACTTACTAAAAACACATCTTAGGTTATCCAAACAGAGAAGCCTTCTTTTTTAAACCCAAGGGGAAGGACCAGTGAGGAATAGCTCCAAGTTGACACTAGTCACAAAATACCTTTAGGAGCAAGGATGGTGGCAACCTGCCCACCAGTGGCGAGGTGAGAAGTAGCAGAGCCCCTGTCCCTGGCTTACCATTCTAGCATATGACATACTTTCCTTGGTGACATTAGTATGAGCTGGTCCATCCAGAAAAAGGCTGAAGCTGCTAATGCTAGGGGTGAAAAAAGTCCTCAAAACAACTCACCACTCCTTCGACTTCTAATATGTACAAATGCTTAAAACAGCAAATTCATCATTTAAAAGTCAAAAAGAAATTGCCACATTTTCAACTCATGAGGCAAATCTGTTGCCAATGGCAACTTACAATCAGTCGGATTGAGTGTCTCCACCCCTCTTAAGCTCCGACTAGGACTGACCTCTGCTCCAGTTATAGCTTAAAGAGGATTTCCCTTTGAGGCAGCTGTCTATGAAAGGAAACTTCTTAACTTGATACAGGTGTGCACAAAAAGGGACCGCACCCTACTATTTCATATTTTATTTTTAAACATATTAAAGATTATATTTTTGAGTTCATCTCCTAACCTAGAAGCCCACTAGCTCTTAGTATTCTACTCCCAAAGTGTGTTTTTGAGGAATGACGGGATCTGTAGGGAATGCTACACTTATCAATTTAATACATTGATATGAGTTAAGTAAAGCAAAATGTTCCAGACTCTATAAACTCTGAGTGTCATCTTCTGTTAACTCCTGAAAGCAGATTGAGAAAAAAACAGAAAAGATGAAGAAGTATTCTAAGACAATAACAATAATAATAATAATGATATAGTAATAAAAAGTTAGATTCCAACATTCAAGGAATTGGTTCTTTGGTAAAATTGGACCACAATCCTATCAGGAGTCAGTCCTGATATTTAATCTAGGACCTTGATCACTGAGGTTTTCTTCCTTTTTCAGCTTAAATTCGAATCTACTGAAGCCAACAGGCAGGATACGGAGAAAAACTTAGAAAGTATCACTGCTCATGCTCTTGCCACAAATATTCCTGGTTTGAGGGATGCTTCTCAAGAAGAAGAAACAAAATAGATGCTGCTTTTGATTATGAGAGTGGGCAGTTTTTCTGCGCAAGAACAGAAAAAAACACAGGCGTTGGCAATGAACCAGTATTCTTATCAGTCATGCATACAAATCGGTTTGTGAACATGGCCCCTAGGCTGTGGCTGTGGGCACCACTAAGAAAGGCTTCTGGAGAGACTGGCTCCCCAAAGTGGCTAAAGAATCTCACATTATCAATATGATAATAATAAATCAATTCACGTAGTGAACCTGGAGATTAGCTCCCCTTGAAGCCAGAATTCTGAGGTGAGGGCTCCACAGCGCCTGAGGCCGGCCTACAGTTTCACAGACATGTATATCCTTTCACTTTTTGGAAGAGAATTAGAATTAGAATTAGGATTGAGAGTTACTCAACTCAATACAGGATTCAACCTTTTTTGTGTTTGGGGAGAGAAGGAGTGGTAACCTACAGAAGACGTTTACAACTCATTTGCAGCATAAATCATCAGGGCCCCCACCCAAGTTCTGACCTTTCATTTCAGAGTCCCCTATTATCTGTACTTTTATTTATGATATTGACAAATCTGAAATTTTGCCTGTACTGATTCCATTTCTGATGACCAATCCTTGTCTAAGGAGAGCATAAGCTGGAACTCCAGTTCTCCAGCTTCCCCTCCAAAACAGTGTGCTCAGAATGTGCTTCTAGGGAGGCAGCTAAAGGTCTCTGAGAAGATGGAAGAGGGCAAGAGGTGAAAATCACAGCAAAATCAAGTGTCTTCTCGCAGAGCTCCTGACCCTCTAATTTTGTCTGTATTGACCTGAAAGAGGTCCAGGGAACTACATCTCAGAGTTAGCTCACTTGGGCAGCCACAGACACCAGGTGCTGCCACAGAACCAATTGCTGGCACCCCAGTGGGAACAAACGAGCCTCCTGACGAGATGTGCATCATTGGTTCTACCTCCCTCTCCCTCAGGAGGATCCCTGCCCCTTCTCCCATCTCATTCCTCTATTCTGATTTTCAGTTCTCTTTGAGAAGCAATAGGCAACTGAACAGACATTGTAAAAATGGGAAGGATTCCTGTCTCCTGTCTCTTCTCTGTGACACTAAGTCCAGTTCAAAATCGGTCCACTGCACACTTAGGTGCACGGGCCCCAAACTACGGATTCACCTCTTGAGATATTTCTAACCAAGTTTAACCACTCGCTATATTTTTGTACTACTGGGTAAAGGATTCGAAATCTTTCAGCATTGGTTCCAAGAGAAAGAGGCCAGGGTGATCAGAGAAACAAGTTAGGCTTGTCTCGGAAGCTGCGCTCAGGTTCCAGAGTCACTATGAGAAAAGGAGAAGAGAGAGTGCGAGGCACTACCTAGAGACTGGTTACCAGGGTGGCTTATTCCTAGGATAGAGCATTTTAAAAACAGCTGACATTTGAATGCAGGAACACAGTCTGTGTCGGTTTTTAATAGAACTGCCTCGTCATGGTGTTTCATGGCTGCTGAGTCCGTGGGCCAGGCATCGGGCAGCCCAGGGCCCTACCCAATCTGGATCTGCCCTGAAAACATAGTGAGGACCAGCATGATGGTGAATCCAGTCAGAAGGCCCAGGTTTTGGATGACAAAGGGGATCAAGATGCTGCCCTTCTTTTCATCTTCTTGGCAGACCTCATTCATCTCAGGGAACTAAAAGACAGAAAAGACAGCTGCATTTCCTTTCTCAGCACATCCAGGCCCATTCAGTTACTGAGATATATATCAAACTGGCTGACAAAATTAACAGCAGCAGCTAAACCTTGAATGTAACAGCCTTTATCTAGGGTGGTTACCGAGACCTTACAACTACCGAGGTAAAACAAAGTACTCTAGCCAGGGATGGGGGAGGCCTGTAGTCCCAGCCACTCAGAAAGCTGAGGTGAAAGGACCACTTGAACTCAAGGGCCTGAGGTTGCTGTTTGCTATGACACCATAGCAGTCTACCCAGGATGACGGACTAAGACTCTGCTTCAAAAAATAAAATAAAATAAACCAAAAAACCCCACAAAGTACTCAACATGCATGGGGCCTGCACTGTGTTTAGATGCTCGCTAAAAATAAATGCACTCTGATTAAAAAGAAAAAAAAAAAAGAGCACACTTCAAAAGCACTTGAAAGGCTGGGGGCGGTGGCTCACATGAACTCAGGAGTTCGAGACCAGCCAGAGCAAGACCAAGACCCTATCTCTAAAAAAATAGCCGGGCATTGTGGCAGGAGCCTGTAGTCCCAGCTACTCTGGGAGCCGAGGCAAGAGAAATCACTTAAGCCCAAGAGTTTGAGGTTGCTGTGAGCTGTGACACCACAGTACTCTTCTCGGGGCTACAAAGTGAGACTCTGTCTCAAAAAAAAAAAAAAAGCACTTGAAATTGTCTTTTTGGCTCAGTGCCTATGGCTCAAGCAGCTAAGGTACCAGCCACATACCCCTGAACTGGTGTGTTCAAATCCAGCCTGGGTCCGCCAAACAACAATGATGGCTGCAACAAAAAATAGCCTGTAGTCCCAGCTACTTGGGAGACGGAGGCAGGAGAATCGCTTGAGCCCGGGAGTTGGAGGTTGCTATAAGCTGTGATGCCACAGCACTCTACCCAGGGTGACAGCTTGAGGCTCTGTTTCAAAAAAAAAAAAAAAAAGAAAGAAAGAAAGAAAAGAGAAGAGAAGATCTTTTTGCTACTAAAAGGTCGCGATGTCGCTTTCTGAGGAAACTGCATGACTATACAAAGGGACTGGAGTAGATCAAGGCCTTGTGCTTCAAGACAGGCAACAACTACAAGACCCTCAAATAATGCCAAAAAGACAAAACAAACAAACAAAATCAGGTGGGCTCCCCACAAGACAGGAAACCATCCATGAAGTAAAACCTTTCCATAGGGTAAGGCTGGATCATGGTAGTCAGCATTTTCACCATCTCATCAAAACTACCATCTTCAGGCTGGATATGGAGGCTCCCAGCACTCTGGGAGGCCGAGGGTAGATTGCTTGAGCTCAGGAGTTTGAGGCTATCCTGAGCAAGAGCCAGACACTGTCTCTGCCAAAAATAGAAAAATTAGCTGGGTATGGTGGCAGGTACCTGCAGTCCTGCCGCTTGGGAGGGCGAGGCAGGAGGATTGCTTAAACCCAGGAATTTGAGGTTGCTGTGACCTAGGCTGCCACCATGGCACTCTGGCCTGGGCAGAGTGAGACTCTATCTCAAAAACAAAAACAAAACAAGACAACCATGATTTTTAAAGGATATGGAAAAATAATTCATGCAAGTAGGCCAAAGACCATGTCATGATAACAAAGAAAGAAAGGACATCAGCCTCATTAGTTATACAAAAGATGCACGAGATTAAGTATTTCACTAGTAAATACAAAACTACTTAAATGGTTATACCAAATGTTAGCAGGTACACTTCAATGCATATTTTCAGGCTCTGCTGATGATGCAGAAAGGTTAAACCCTTTTATTTATTTATTATTGTCTTTTTTTTTTTTTTTTTTTTTGAGAGACAGAGTCTTAAGCTGTCACCCTGAGTAGAGAGCCGTAGCGTGACAGCTCATAGCAACCTCAAACTTTTGGGCTTAAGTGATTCTCTTGCCTCAGCCTACCAAGTAGCTGGGACTACAGGCGCCCGCCACAACACCTGGCTATTTTTTGTTACAGTCATCATTGTTGTTTAGCAGGCTGGAGCCAGGTTCAAACCCACCAGCCCTGGTATAGGGGGCTGGCACCCTAACCACTGAGCTACGAACGCCGAGCCAGGTAAACTCTTTTAGAAAGCAATCTGGCAATACTTGTTAAAACCCTAAAACCATGTGTCCACCCCTTGAGCCAGCAATTCCGCTTCTGGAGTTAAGGTATACTCTCTCACCAAATAATACTGCCAGTGAAAGGGGTGTTTTCAAATAGTATGTACCATAGAAAAATGTCTAAGTTAAGAAAGGAATCAACATAAAATTGTGTATTTAATGTGATTATAGTTATAAAAATAGACACACATATGCATTGAGACAAAAAAGAAACAAACTAGTTTTTGTTTTTGTTTGCGATACAGTCTCATTCATTCACCCAGACTAGAGTGCTGTAGTGTCATAGCTCACAGCAATCTCAAACTCCTAGGCTCAAGAGAGCCTCAGCCTCCCAAGTAGCTGAGATAATAGGCCTGTGCCATCCCACCTGACTCATTTTTTTTATTTATTTTTATTTTTATCATATTTTCTTTTTTTTTAGAGACAGAGTCTCACTTTGTCACCCTAGGTAGAGTGCCGTAGCATCACAGTTCACAGCAACCTCCAGCTCTTGGGCTTAGGTGATTTTCTTGCCTCAGCCTCCAGAGTAGCTGGCCCTACAGGTACCTGCCACAACGCCCGGCTATTTTTGTTGTTGTTACAGTTTGGGCGGGGCCACCCTTGGTATATGGGGCCAGCGCCCTTCTCACTGAACCTCGGGCACCACCCTAATTTTTTTATTTTTAGTAGAGACGGGGTCCCACTCTTGCTCAGGCTCGTCTTGAACTCCTTAACTCAAGAAATCTACTTGCCTCCGTCCTCCAGAATGGTAGGGTTACAAGTGTGAGCCACCGAGCCCAGACCAACCAAAGTATTAATTGTGATTGTTTTAGGGAAGAATGATTATGGGTAATTTTCTTTCCTCCTTTTCCTCCCATGCGCCTTTCCTCTATTTATCTATACACACTTGTTCTATAATATTTAAGCAAAGACCCTACATTGATATAATCATTTTCTTTAATGACATGTAAGAGAAACATAAACTTTTCCTTCTTTAAATCTCATGTCCCCTTAAAAACCACTGAATTGTACACCTTAAATAGATAACTCAATAAAGCTTTGTAAAGCTATTTTTGTTGCTGTTGCAGACAAGGTCTTGCTGTCACCTGGGCTGGAGTGCAGTAGCATCATCAGAGAGCACTGCAACCTCAAAATCCTGGCCTCCTGCCCTAGCCTCCCAGAGTGCTGCAATTCCAGGTGTGAGCCACTGCACCTGGCCATCTTGAAATAAAGCTGTTATTAAAGACAAACAAACTAGCAATAATGTTCCTGTAGCTGCCCTCCCAGTGAAATGAATAATCTGGCCCAATTTTGCATATGTGGCATCAACTCTGAAAGACTTACCATATCAGCCAGGGATATATACAAAAACATTCCTCCAGCCAGCGCGAAAATCCAGTTGGCAGAGAAGTGGCTGCCGGCCAGGATGCCAAAGGCCAACCCCAAGTAGCAGCAACAGGCGGAAAGGAAATTGAAGAAGAGAGCTTGCTGAATGCTCATCCCAGCATTGAGCAGGATGACGAAGTCTCCTGTGGACGGGAGAAAAGAGGAAGAATGCTGAAAGAAGAATCATATGATGTATCAGGAGACAGAGAACACCGATGACATCAGACGGCCTGAACTACACATAAAGCCTGGAGTGACAAGACCAAGACACCTACCTCTTCCTATTTAGGAACTCTCCTTTTGCCAAAATGGTCATATATTTCTGACTTAGAGGGTGAAAATAATTCCCAAGATTTTTAAAATAGATGACCAAGCTAGCACTGGCCTCATTTCTCTTTTGACTGGTAGTGAAATGGATGGAGCTCCCTTCCTTGCAACTACTGTGATCAGCGTTTTTAGGAAATAAAATTGAGACTGAGGGAAGCCTACGACAAAGCCAGGATTTGACCTGGAGTTGCCTCTGAGCCTCTGGGGTCCTGGCTTTCTGCACTTCCCTCCTATAGATAAGTCCCTCCTAACCCCTGGATCATTTACTTCCCCCACCTGCCAGACTGCTTACACACAGCATTTGGGAGGCAAAGATACACCCTTTTTTTTTTTTTGGTGAGACAGAGTCTCACTTTATCGCCCTTGGTAGAGTGCTGTAGCGTCACAGCTCACAGCAACCTCCAACTCCTGGCCTTAGGTGATTCTCTTGCCTCAGCCTCCCGAGTAGCTGGGACTACAGGTGCCTGCCACAACGTCCAGCTATTTTTTATTGCAGTTTGGCCAGGGCAGTGTTTGAATCCGCCACCCTCGGTATACAGCGCTGGCACCCTACCAAGTGTGCCACAGGCACCACCCCAAAGATACACTTTACTGAGCCCTCAGAACAGAGTGAGGCATGTGTTAAGTCCTTTTTACCACTTTTTCTCTCTTTTTTTTTTTGAGACAAGAGTCTCACTCTGTCACCCTGGGTAGAGTGCCCTGGCATCGTAGCTCACAGCAATCTCAAACTCTTGGGCTTGAGTGATTCTCTGGCCTCAAGCTCTGAGTAGCTAGGATTATAGGTGCCTGCCACCACACTTGGCTAGTTTTTCTATTTTTAGCAGAGGCAGGCTTATTCTTGGTCAGGTTAGTCAAACTCCTGAGCTCAAGCGATCTAACTACATGGCCTCCTAGAGTGCTAGGATTATAGGCGAAAGCCACTGTGCCTGGCCACCATTTATTTTTCTAAAGATAAGCACCATAATTATTATCCCCACTGCACAGGTGAAGAAACGGTCCACAGCACAGGGGCTAAAGGGAAACAAGCATCCCTGTAAAAAAGCCATCATTTGAAATTATCTATCATCTATTAAGAAAAGGTGACTAGATTTTATATAGCTTAGGGAGTGTGATAATTACTTAGAGTAAGTATTATGACATGGGTGAAGAGAACAGTAAGATATTAGCCATATGACAACCGAGGAAGCACAAGTGGACACCCGCCTACCCAGCTCATGCGGGAACTCCTCACAGAGGATGGCCACGGAGGTGCTGATGCCTTGGAAAACAGATACAGTGAAGGAGGCACCAATAGCCAGACCATCGATGAAATTGTGGAGGCCATCACTCAGGGTGATCATCCAGGCCAGCGTGCCGATGTGAGAGTAGCGGACACCTTTCAGCCAGTAACAGGTGCTCTGGGAAGCCTGCAGGTCCTATGAAAAAGCACATCCCCAAGGCCTGCAGTCAGAAGCTGAACCAGGTGCCCTCCAGGTGGGGCCAAGCCCATTGCCTCTTAGAGCAGTGGTTCTCAGCCTTCCTAATGCCATGATGTATTTTCATTGTCACAAAGGGGTCACAACCCACAGGTTGAGGTTCCCACCAAGCAGCTGACAGCCCGCTCACCTGCACGGACAGTGAGCCTACAATGACCTTCTCATCCACCGGGGCTTTGCTGTCCAGCTCGCTGCCACAGTGTTGAGGAATCATGTGGTCCAGATCGCCATTCTGCAGCTTCTCCATCACACCCTCCTCCTGGTCCTTCTTGGAAGGCAGTGTCTCGGAGGTGTAATGGCTGTGTCCCTGGTGATGCTGTAGGGGTGACAGGGAGGGGTCAACACGACACTCACCAAAACCACAGACCTGGACTGAGTGCCTACCCGGAGTAAGTGTACCACACATGGGAAAGACCTCATTTCTACCACCAAAGAAAACACAAGCAGCTCCCTACAAGAAATGTAGGGAAATAAGGACTTGGCGTTAGATGTCAAAGCTGTCACTTCAAGGCGAAAGCTCATTCCAGCAAGGTGGCCACTGCTCAAGACACTTAGAACTCCTTCTTTGCAATGGGCAACTATGCAAGGATAACTATGCGTCAGGCACTGGGGGTATCTTTCCAGAACTACACTATAATATATAATAATCAGTTCTGTCTCATTGTGGCCATCATTCTTCATACACAGTGAATGTACATTATCAAGCTCCTCTCCCATCTAAAGATACACACATACACAGGAGAACCTCTGTAAGCTGGCCACCCAAGGGATTGTAACAAACTGATCAACGTAAGGAATTAGGCCCACTGTACTTATAGGTACGGGAGGGCCTGTCTATGAAAATTAGGCCAACTTAAGGAAGTGGTCAGTGTAAGGAGGTGGTCCACGACAGAAGTTCTATTGTATATTAAAAAGATAATCTAGAATAAAACAAAGGGGATAAACAACTGCTTAGTAAAAAGCACATAGGCCAGGACTTGCCTGTGGTCTGGCCTCACCCTAGGGCGTTATCTTCATACGGTAAAATGGGATCATCTCCTCTAGAAATGTGTGTTTCATGAAACTTGTGGTGTTGAGCTAACACCACTTACCGAAACACATCGCTGGCATTTTCTGAAATCGGTGCTTTCCCTAGAAGAACCTCCCTTCCCAACAATTGGGCCTCACCTCATTTTTCTGTTTAAGAAGTATCTTCAAGATCTTCTCTGTGAAAAAGAAAAGATAAAAGCCCCCAAACACCACTGCAGACTTGGAGACATAATAATCTTCCATAGGGTTAAAATCGAAGGCCTGTGGACCCAGAAAGACAAAATGAGTTTAAGGAAAAAAAAAAAATTCTTCACCGGTTTCCTCTCTTCTCTAAACTACTTCCTTGACTCCAGGGAAGGAAACAGACCAACTGGAATAACTCTGCTCTCACCCTATTCTCCTTCCAGCAAAATCTAATCCTTGTTTTCTGAAGTGACATCACCAGACCTGCCAAGTTCTCTCAAGCTCATTTTTTGATGCAAAATACAGATCATCTATATAATTTTAATCTCAGGAAGAACAGCCTTGGGTATGGTTTTCTACTTTTAATTTCTCTTGGTGCTTTGCTACAAAGGCGTACTTTGTCAGCAAATTCCGTATTTAAGGAGAAGACACTTGCGTTTATTTTCATCTTATTTAGTGTCCCTGGTTAATCTGCCTGTAAACACAGGGAGGTGGTGTAATTATACTTTCTAAAACAGGAAACCCATTTCCCAGTTAAATAGGAAGAATTGCAATATCTCCCTGACCACAGACCTCCCAGTGACCACAAAGCCGAAAAGCTGGTTATGTTACTAAGAGCATCTATTTTTGGGGGGTTTTGTTGAGTTCTTTCTGAAATTTTCACTTATTTGAAGTGGGGGGAAAAGGTGGCCTGGCACAGTGGTCAAGCCTATAATCCTAGCACTCTGGGAGGCCAAGGCTGGAGGATTATTTGGGCTTAGGAGTTTGAGACCAGCTTGGGCAAGAGTGAGATCCCCAGTTAGCCAGGCGTGGTGGCACATGCCCCTTTAAGTCCCAGCTACTTGGGAGGTTGAGGTGGTAGGACTGCTAGAGCCCAGGATTTGAGGTTGCCGTGAGCCAGGCTGACATCTCGGCACTCTAGCCTGGGCAACACGGTGAGATTGTGTCTCAAACAAATAAATAAAGTGGGGAGAAGGAATCCATTAAAAAGAGACAAGACTAGAAATCAGGAGAATTCGATTCCAAGTTAAGCTCCTGATTTACGGTAGAATCCTGTGAAAGTGTCTAATGTCCGGCTCCTTTGTTTTCTGAGGGGATCTCCAGTCCTCTCATGAATAGGCTCAAGACAGAAGTTGATCACAACTACAAGCAACTCTGGGCTACTTAAAAGGTAAGTGTTGCTCTTTTAAGTTTTAACTGGACCAAATTCAGCCGCCAATGAAACAACCCATTCAGGTCAACTTTCCAAGACTGTCGAATCATCTTAGGGAAAAGGAAAGTGAAAACAGACAAGCAACACCTCTCCATAAAAAGCCATGGGGCATGGTGGAACATTATGGTTACAAGAATCTCAAAAGCCGGATTCTAGGTGCAGGAATATGTATTCTTGTGCAAGTCGGATTCCAAAGGGTGAAACATTACTTACTCTACACGCCAGCATTGACCTAAGGATTAACTATGAAAAAAAAAAAAAAAACCAACAAAATAGCACCTTGGAAGAAGCGGTGTTACAGGAAGCATGAGGAATCAACCATGGGTTTGCCTAGGCCTGTCAGACCACCTACCAGGAAACTCCTCATGCTTGTTGTAATTATCCGGTCTACTGAAGCGATTATGCCAAATCGGATGAAAAATCTCCAGGGCTGTCTACCAAACTTTACAAATACCGTGCTCCTCTCCCTTTGAGAATTTTCTGGTTAACTTTGGTAAAGGTACCGTCAACATACGTGAAACCAGACCGTGTTCTATTTAGATTACCTTTGCCCCAAAACTCCCTACGGAGCAGAACTGATCTTTGTACTGAGACCTGTGGGTTCTATTTTTTTTTTTTTTGAGACAGAGCCTCAAGATGTCACCCTGGTTAGAGTGCTGTTGCATCACAGCTCACAGCAACCTCCAACTCCTGGGCTTAAGCGAGTCTCCTGCCTCCACCTCCCAAGTAGCTTCGGGACCACAGGCGCCCGCCACAACGCCCAGCTATTTTGGGGTTGCAGCTATCTTTGTTGTTTGGCGGGCCTGGGCTGGATTTGAACCCACCACCTTAGGTGTATGTGGCTGGCACCTTAGCCACTTGAGCCACAGAAGCCGAGCTGACCTGTGGGTTTTGTTGATGTGTTTTGTATGTCTCTGCACCAAAAGCCACAAATGGAGAGGCATAAGGGAGCCACAGAGAGATCTCACTCCACTCCCCTTTTCCACTCAACATTAGATAGGGCTTTCCAGACACCAGGTGCTTATAAATATTAACTCATTTAACCCTCACATCATCATCTTGAGATCAGCCCCCTATCATTGTCCCCATTTTTTTTTTTTTACATCTGAGGGAACAGAGGGACAGAGAGGTAAGTGGCTCGTTCAAGATCATATAACTTGTAAATGGAATTGAACCTACGTCTTAAAACCTATGCTTTGCTGCCTCCTCTCCTAGCTCAGGCTCAAGTCCTAGTTTCATTTTCCAGAAGGAAAGGATGCCGAAGAGTCCTCTCTGCTTTCCATCTAAATGCAGGACCCTCCCGCTGTGCCCCGAGGTCCCCCAGGAGACTGGCGTGCTCCTGCTTGAGAAGGCTCTGGCCTGCCATACCTCGGGGATGAGCTGGAAGAGGGCGTTGGAGTAGAGGGTTCCAATCGCCAGAGCTATGAAGTAGAGCAGCAGCCTCGTGTAAAAGGTCTTCTTCATGAAGGGCACCACACTGGCCCCCATGAGAGAGCAGAGGGAGATGACGGTCACACAGAGGAGACCATATCCCCACACTGCCGCCGTGAGGGAGGGCCAGCCCCACCCAGGGCACAGCAACCACCATTTAGGGGATGGAAGGTGGAAGGGATGGGGTGGCAACAAGGCGAGTTTGGTGGATATTAACAAGGGAAACACAAAAGAAAAAATTAGAAAGAGACAAGTAGGGAGGGAGAGAGAAACAGAAAATTTGTTAGTGATTCAAGTCTGATGAAATTTCCTTCAATCAATTCAGGAGAAATGAGGAGGAATTCAAGGTGGCCTTGGAACCCTGGAACTACTGCCCCTGCTGCTCTGGGTGGCCCGAGTCATCCCTGGCAGCAGGTGTGAGTGGCAGGGCAGGGTGCTGCCTAGTCACACACCTAAGGCCTGCTCAGCCTCCCATAGAGGCTGCCCTGGGCAGACTTTGGCCTCAAGGGCTGTCTTTCAGAGGAAACAAGAGCAAGTGAAAAGAGACTAATCACCCAGTTGCCGTGTTTGCTTTTCCATATCCAATCCGTACTGCATGAGTACACGTGATAACACCAGGACCTGTTTTGGTCTGTGTGAGACACGACAAAGTCAGGTGTGCAGGGCAGAAGGCAAGGACCACAATAAATACCTAATGCCCATAAAAGCAGGATCTTAACTTCCCTGTTTTTGTTTGTTTGTTTCCATTTGTTTTGAGAGGGGGGGACTCAAATACAGAGAACAGAGTTCCAGGATTACGCAGTCACCAAAAAATATCTCCTCTAGCATTTACCACTGTGACGCTCCATCCGGGCTTTCAGTCCAGGCCACAAAGAAGGCAGCACAGAACTGTGCCGGGAGGAGACCCACCCTGGTGAGCCACAGGAGCGGAGCACATACAATTATAGTATTTCCATTCAAATAGGCAACAAGGCATTTCATTTCAAATCTTTTAAAAATTAAGAAATTCGTATTTCTGGAGCTGAAAAAAATAGCCCAAGATGAGGCTGCCCACAAGAAGTGCTTGCTGGAGCCATGAGGGATTTTGAGACACTGTCAAGGTGTTAACCTTACAGCAGATCATTTCTTTGATTAGGAAGCAGCCACAGGCAAGGCACAGCATCCTGGCTGGTACTTTATCCACGTTAGACTTTTGAATGGGAAAGGCTAGGAAGCTGGTGTCATTGGCTCTTTATGATAAGTAGTGCCCACCATTCCCTAAGGGGCTTGACCACACATGTCTGCACACCCTGGCCCCCTCCAGCAGTGCCCCAGCCTAAGCTGAGAACGTGGGCCAACCGTCAACTTGGGTCTTATTTTTATAGCTCCTCGGTGATAACAATTAATAAACAAAATTAACAAACATTTTAAAGTAAGGGTATCAGGAAGTCGGTCCTATCAGGAAAAAGTCAAGATGCAAGGTATGAAGAATTGAGTGCCCTTTCACTTACTTTGTCATTTTTTATTTTGTTTGTTCTTGTCAAATAAATAGTCTTTGTCTGACTCTCTATGCCACAGACTACAACCTGCTTAAATTTAAGGGTTATTACCTTTTTTTTTTTTTTAAGAGACAGAGTCCCACTTTATTGTCCTCAGTAGAGTGCTGTGGCATCACAGCTCAGAGTGCTGTGGCATCACAGCTCACAGCAACCTCCAACTCCTAGGCCTAGGCGATTCTCTTGTTTCAGCCTCCCAAGTAGCTAGCACCACAGGCGCCTGCCACAACGCCCAGCTATTTTTTTGCTACAGTTTGGCCTGGGCTGGGTTTGAACCCGCCACTCTCGGTATATGGGGCCGGCGCCCCACTCACTGAGCCACAGGTGCCGCCCAGGGTCATTCACTTTTTAGGCTAATCCTATGAATCAGTTGGTAACCTCTTTCGTCCTATCTCATTCCAGATGGATAATGCCCACACCTGAGTACCACCAGGGCTTCTCTAAAGGCCTGGCAGCGCCCACTGCTGCAGCTTTCCCCTGGAGCCCTAACAATGGGGCTGAGGAGAGGCACTGAGGAGGGGACACCTGGAGGTCCCCAACAGGGAGGGCAAATGGGGAGAGCCTTGCATCTGACAGTACCTGAAGAGGCCAGAGGCAAACCTGAGCACCCAGGGAAGTGAGAGATGGTCCCTTAAATCCAGAGTTAGAAGTCATTTGTGGCCCTTGATATGAGGGAGAGGCTCATTGTTCAGAGAGCAGTTGTTGGGTGCCTCAGAGCCCAGGGTGAGGGACTGGTCAGCCAGGGGAAGGCTCAGCATGGCACCCGGGGAGGAGGACGCACACGCTTCTGTTCTACTGCACCTCTGGGATGAGCTGGAACAGCGCGTTAGAGAGCAGCGTTCCAATGGACAGGGCGATGAAGTAAGTGAGCACGCGGCTGAAAAACGCTTTCTCCATGCAGGGCAGGACGAGGACTCCCAGGAGAGAGGCCAGGTTAATCAGTGAGACGCTGAGAAAACCAAAGCCCCACACTGTGGAGGAACAAGAACAGACGGGGGCCTCCATTACCGAGGGCGGGGTGCTCCCGCTGCCTGGGGCGGGCCCACTCTGGGCACACAGAGATCTGCTAACCCATCGGTAACACCTGCCGAGTCCATCTCCAGCTGGGTGCCGTGGAGACACCACAGAACACCCTGTCGGAGCTGCCATCCAAAAGAAGCTTACCTTTTCAATGGATGGCTGTAAACAACATTAAAGGTGAAAGACCGTGTTACTTAAACTCCCATAGCAGGAAACAATCTGGAACATCACACAGGCAGTGCTCGTGAGGTGCCAAGAGTGGGGCAGCACATGCCAGCACAAAGGACCTCAGGATACTCAGGGCCTTAAGGAAGACGGCTCACAGCCCGTGGGGTCCACTGGGCAGGATCAGAACTACCAGGAAGAGGAGGGGAAGAAGGAGGAAGCTGGCCAAGGGCAGCCTCTGGGAGGCCTTAAAGGTAAAACTAAAAAAACCATTGTGTTGGCCTCCTTGTGGTTCAAAGAAAGCCAGGAAGAAAGTGGACAAAAAGGCACCTGCAGGCTGCTCACAAAGGCCAGCACTCCGGACTTGCCCCAGCCACACTGCCCAGGGGGCTGACAATGTGCTAGAGTCCTCTTGGGGATTCAAAAATCATCAGTACAATCATCGCCTCCCTGCTGCTGACAACTGCATCTTGTCTGAGGAAGGGCTGCTGGTCAAGCACTCAACTGTCAGCCAGGGAATCCATGTGAGGACCAGCTCCCGGCTCAGGCTCCTGCCCTCCTTGCCCGGCTCACCTTCCACCGGGGTCGGCCTCCCCTCTTCCGTCTGCTCGTTCTTGTTTTCCTGGTTCTCAGAGGTGCAGGCCCGCGAGCCCAGCTGCTGCAGGATGGTGGGGCAGAATTCCTGGAACTCGCTCTTCCCGATCCGTGATCGGTCACTGAAATTGTGGGCAGCAAAGAGGTCTTCCGAACTGAAGCACTGAAACACAGGGAGGGGGCAGGAGGCCTCTTAGAACCTCTGAAAACCCAACCTACTCAGCCTTCCCAGAGAAAATAAGACAGAAATGTCCAAATTGCAGTGAGTTTGTAGATCTGGCTTGTCTAGAGGGGAGAGCAAGGTGGTCCCTAAACTTGAAAGACTGGTAAGCAGTCTTAGGGACTCGCCACCAAGAAATGTTACACTTACAAGCACAGCCATGTATAAATGGCTGCCTGAGCAGATTTAGGAACAAGACCCCAATCATCATGACCTGGTGTGGTTTCTAGAAAACATGCCTGAGATACAAGCTCCATCCAGATACCAAATCTAGATGCAAATCACAAAAGCCCAGCGGGCTGTTATATATTAAAATGCAGATTCTAGGCTTGGCGCCTATAGCTCAACCGGCTAAGGCGCCAGCCACGTACACCTAAGGTGGCGGGTTCGAATCCCCAGCCCGGACCCACCAAACAACGACGGCTGCAACCA